ACTGCTTTGTGCTCTGCGGTCCAGAGCGGGCTGGTACCTTGAGCTGGGCACGTGGCAGGCCCAACCAACAGCTGCGGAGGCTACCAACAGTCATCCAAAGGGGCTTCAGAGTCTGTGAACTGGTACCTCATTCATTCATTGCAAGCGTGGTTGGTGTTGGTAGCGCACACCTTGTAATACAGTACCTTTGATTAAAGGAAAGAAGAGAGGAGGATGCCTGCTTCTCTCTAGGTATCCGTAATTGTGAATTGCTTGAAATTTATCACTGCTTCACCTAAAAGTGAACAAACTCGTGGCCTGTGTAACCCTTGTATTTATGTTCGTATTAGTTTTAATTTTAGGATTATAGAAACTATTTTTCTGTGAAGCCCTTTACATGCAGTTAGTTGTTGAGTAATTGCCTGCTACTTTTCACTTATCAGTTTTGGATTCCAGGGCTGTGAACTATGTCAGATTATGTCTTTTGAAATAAATATAACTCAGGCCACAATAGCTAAAATAGAAAGATCCTGTTACGTAATCTTTGTGTGCAGTGTCTGTAGTGCTATTTTTAAATGCAGACTTCTGCTGTGTGGCCACTCCTTAGGTTACAGAAAAGCCCCTGCTAAATCACTTTGCCAACTTGCTAGAGACATGTAGTTACGTACTACTTTCCTTCTCTTTTAATATATACGTAAGTATACAGTTAGGACTAGAAAGTATTCAGGTTCCATTGTTGAACTCATGGAAGGTTATTTTGAGGGAGATGGTGTTAACATAAGTTTGGGACACTGTGTTGAGCCCCTTATGCAAGCCCTTCAGCACCAAGGTAACATAAAAGGGATGACACTGTTGTGTTCAGGTTACCAGAGCCTTGCACTTCTGTACCCTGATCAGGTAAAGAGTAAATGGGAAGGAGGGAAAGATTCCCACTGTATGATAATGAACAGGTTGGAAGAAAAAAATTACTGACTTTACAGTACAGCAGGGATGAAAAATCACACCAATCCGCAGCTACTTCAACAGCAGAAACATTTGTTTGGCAGGTGTAACTGGCTTTCTCAGGATTCACTAGTGTTTTTCAAACTTTTTTCCAAATTTTGTAGTATCCTGAAATTTCTAGTGAAGGTGCAGGCTCCTATAGAATTGAAACCTACCAGCAAGATGTTTACTTTTCTCATCTACCTTCTGTTGAGTCGTTAGAATGATGTCACAGACCGCCCGCAACCTTGTGGACCACAGGTTGAAATCCACTGTCCTGGCAGAAAGAAATGAAGTCTTCTGATTGTTGAGAGACCAATAATGCATCATAACCTATCCCACTGGGAAAATTTCTCCCCACCACCTCTCCATCTATGATCCAACGTTAGGCTATGGAAGGACACTTACCATGTAAATGACCATTTATTTGTTTATTCTGTGCATGATTACAGGACCAAAGCAACACGCTATCAAAAATTCATCTTCCCCTCCAAGAAAAAAGAAAAACTGTCTTGAACCTCGAATGCCTAGTTATCATCATTTGCTTTGCCATTGAAAAAACAATGAAAAAAGCTGAACTGCATCACATCAGCTTTGTTCAGAAGCTATCCATTGGTTCAGTGAAGCCACAACCTATTTCTGTAGCGAATCTTCACCATTTTTCTCACAGGGCGCCTCTACGTCTCAAAATAAAGCTCATCTCTCTCCTTTGCCTTATCCCTCCTATTGCCTACACCCTTCTAACCCTGCTCCAAGTACAGCCTGCTTTGACAGACAACGCATACCGACTGTTGAAAGGGCATCTAGCTCTCTTTGCTAGGAAAGGCTAACAAAACACAAACTATGAGGGGCAGAGCAGCAAAGAGGAATGGGTGAGAATAACACATGGCCTGGTCAGATCTTACTTGGGGAAGAGTAGAAAAAGACAGTATTTCTGCTGCCTTTGAGACACCATTAGCTTTACACAGTGAACTGAGGTAGCTAGACTGCCCCTCTTCCTACAATCTGGCTGGATTTTTGCGTGTATGTGTATATAATATAATATACACATATGTGTGGCAGGGGGCTGGAACTAGATGATCTTTGAGGTCCCTTCCAACCCAAACCATTCTATGATTCTATATGTGCACATATACATACATGTATGCATATCTCCATGTGTATACACAAATTTATGTGTACCTTCAGGCTCTCAGGAGAATGTTTCTAACAGAGTTCTAGGTAATTTTTAGCTCTTGCTACCCTGCGGTTTAGGCCAAGAAAAGCCCTTTTGAAGTCTGAATGCTTATTATCCAAGAGCAAAAGTAGAGATAGCTCTCCCGTACAACCAAATCTCTCCTTTATGAAAAAGAAAGTGACGCACAGGGCAAATTTCAAAAATCCCTTTCATCTAGAAGCTTTACAAATACTGAAGGTTCTTTGAAGGACTTTGGTGCTCAGGCTCCAAACCAAGAGACAGTGTATAAATACCAGAGAGAAAAGGCTTAGATTCTCATATGCTGAAAAACATTACTGACTCAGAGATAGCTGCTTAACAGCTTTCTGACAGTAAATTACTTGGAGTTTAACAGTAATATCTGACATGATGCTACCTGAGTAAGTTAACAGCAAAGCTCACTTTACTGATAAAATTATTTTAGAATATCTTGTCAGCAAATAACAGGATCAGAAGATATTTTTGTCTCTCACTGCATCATGTGAGAAACCTTCAGCACTGAAGGATGGCTATTAAGAAAATCACCACACTCATTGGTGACATCCCTTACTGATTTACAATATAATTCTCTCAGGAAAAGATCATTCCCCTGGAAGAGGCTTATCACATTTGAATGCATTGTTTTATGCATGGAAGTTGTTTTCTGTCCTCTCAGTATCTTAGATGCTGACACTTTAGCTCAGATGGGATGAGACCGGAAGTCCATCCTTTTTCATGCCCTCTGACACCAGCCAATACCAGACATTTCTGCAGAAAGCAAAAAGGCTAAGAGATGCAGACATGAGGACAGTCTGCTCCTAAAGCTCCACTCTCATCTCTGAATCAGCTCAAATTCTGAGTATGGAGTATAACGATTCGGTCTAAATGTAACCCCAATTCAGCTTCATTAACTTGTCCCTCTGTTCTTGTACTACAAGACAGAGCAAGAGTTCTCTACTTTCCTACTTGCTTTGCAGCACTCAGTTTTATAAAGACTCAATATTTATCTTTTCTTTCCTAAGGAACTAAAGTCTTGGTCCTCCCAGTGGCTTCATCGGAGAAGCTTTCTCCTAGTTATTTAATTGCCCTTCTTCAAACTCCTCTCCTTTAGGAGAATTCTTTTTCAGACATTGAGCTGCACAACACACTATTTCAGGTGAAGTCCAGTGATGGATAGAACACCCTGCTCATACTGTGTGTTCTAGCACTCATTTTTGACCACAGCTGTATGTGCCTTCAGCAATAAGCAAGATCTTTCTTCTGCTAGTAATGTTAAATCTTTCCTCAGTGTACCAGTAGTTACTTTTTCCTCCCTGAAAAGAAACCAAACCAAAACACCACCCTAGATCTTCATTACAATGCAGTAATCACTATAGTCTAGTCATCTTTCTTGCTTAAGTTTTTTCAAATGACATACAGGTTTGTAGTAATATGAAAAACTACAGAGAAATTCAGCTCCTTTAATGGCCATTTTCAAGGATTTTATTCTTAACATCAAAAATCCAGCAAGGACTTTTGAGGTTCCTTACCACTCATGCCTCATTTCTGGAGATCCCCTTTCCATCACGGGGGTGAATGAGACGATGGCTTCGGTGCTTCTTGAGCTCCTTGCTTTCAGAGGAATTTTTTAATACAAGAAAGAATCAACATGTATTTATTCTAAGTGTATTCACACTACTTTGTAATTATTCAATGCTGAATAATTAGCTCTGACTTGTTTTAAGCATCCCAGAATAACTGCTTTCTATGTCTTCACTTAATTTAAAAGTTCACACTAGCACATTATCTATAAACATTTGGAGAAACAGCTGTTCAAACTTGACCCACATGGTACGAAATAAAGCTAATACACACTTAAGTACACTGATATATGAATTTTAGGTCTGTATTCGCATCAACAGCAAACAGCTATTGGCTTATCTACATCTTTAATGTTACAGCTTTGGATTACAGGACAAAAATTACGTGAGTCTTTCTATTATTCAATAGCTACCCAGAGCTGTTTATTAGTTACTAAAAGAGAAAAAAGTCTCTTATAACCTCAAAACAAATTTGATGCAGTTATCTAAGCATATCTTCGTCTTCCTTCCTATCTACATTTTGTTTGCTATGTACAGACCTTCTTCTTGCTTACTACAGTTTACTATAAGAAAGCAAGGAACAGTTGTGAAAGCAAGCTATTTCAAGGATTGCTCCATTACTTCAATGAAGAAAAATGGCACCAAACCAATAGTCATTTCTTTGCAGTGGATGACTTACAATTTTTCTGCAAAAAAAAAAAATCATTTGTGCAAGCAACATGCTTACATAGCGAAGTGTATAGCTGTCAGTGATGTTTCTCTTCTGCTGCGCTACTGCTCAGGCCTAAAAGACAGATGACTAATCCAGGTGATCAGATGCAGCAAGAAGGTGCTAGAAGCACAGAGGAAGAGATGTAATTGATATATTTGAATTACAGTGAAAAAAGAGAAATATAAACAGCTTTACTGAGTATGCAACAGCAAGACATTTTAGCCTGTTTTATGTCACCACAAATCTCTCAGAACACTAGCTTTTATAATAAAATACCAGCTTAGCCATTAAGTAAAATGAGCGCACAGGAACACTTAAGACTCAGAGCAGTCTGACATCTAATTACATGGATTTCAGCTTCCAGTTATCAAATCTTATCTGGATCCCAAGCACACTAAAGGCACAGAAATTTATAGGAGGCAGGCTAAATCCTTTAGTTGAACTTTTCTTCCTCAAAATAACACACAATATATGCCAATATCCAAGCAAAAAAAAAAATATTGCCAGCACATACAGCATATTTCTACTAACAAAGTAAGCATTTAGAAAGGCATTCCAGCAGGTTTTATTTACCAAGAACTCAGATTTATTTTTTTAACATATAAAAGTTTTGCTTTTACATAGGAAACTAAGACACAAGGGATGCAAGAGTTTGTAAAGATTTCAAGAGGCTGCAAAATACATCCATTTAAAAAACGATTCTCAGAAGCCAACGTTCAAAATAAGATGAAGGCTGAAAACCTCTTTGAGGCAGCTCACATCCTGACATTAACGTTTGCGTGACAGGTTTATACAGAAAAAGCTGTTACGGGGACTTCAGTCCCTGAATCGTCAGTCTAGTTGAAGAGCTTAAATATAAATAAAGGGGAGCAAGAATCTCCCGCTTTCCAGGTACTGACTAATCCAGACGTGTAACAACTTGTCCTCTCACTGGAGTCTCATCCGTTTTTCAGGTGGTCCTTTAGCGCCAGCACTCTGCTGAGCATTCTTTACAGTCTCTTTTTCCTCTGGCTTGACAGCTTCAGGGGCTGGTTCTGGTTCCTTCTTGATTTGATCCACTTAAGAAGTAACAGCAAAAGAAAGTTAAACCTCCGATTTTTATTCCTAAAATACTGTTCAGAGTACTTAGAAAACATTGTTGATGTCAAAGGGGAAAAAAAATAATTTCAAAGGTATAAGAATAACCAAGGACTCAATTCATACTTATACAGGTAAAAAAGTGGGATAGGTTGAAGAGACACAGTTTGTGATTTGCCTGTTTTAAGGTTACTTATGATCAACTCAAAGCCTTCACATGCTTTCCCGAGCTTGTAGCAGCGTGCAAAATCACTAAGATGCTGAACTGACCAGACTGTTCCCTCATTCACCCTTTTACCCTCCTTCTCCTTTCGAAGACTATTTCCTGCATTTAAACCTTTAGACAATACAGTTTTACAGACAGAAAGGGCAGGAGCAGAATATACATTTTTTCATCTTCATTCTGGCTGTCACAGATAACTCTTAACCTAGTACTTTGCACAGTTAGGCAATGCCAGAACTCCTAACTACTTCAGTAGCAGAAGCAAGGAGCTTATATTGCAGTTGGAAGACCCTGCTACACAGAGTCTATTTTGTAAGTCTTGTGAGAATATTAGAGTTTTACCTGGGATAGGCTTTTCTCCAGGCTTTTGCTGTGAGGAAGAAAAAAAAACAAACACACACATATCAGTGGAACCAAAGTCATAATTCTTAACCCTTCCTACTATTCACTTAGGAATATAAACCAAGCAATGCACCCTTATACATGAGAGTTGAGGGTAGAATGGATCACTAAATACATTTTAAACAAAATCCAATTAACATTTTGTAACTTCCAGTTTTTCCACTGACAACTGAAAAGCACTAAAGCAAAAAAAATACAGTTAGCCTCAATTACATCTGAGAAGTAAACAGTTTCGTGAAGTGCTGTAAACATAATTTCCTTTCCTCCCAAGCAGAAGACTTGGTAGAATAAACGGCTACTAGAGACGATCAGAGGTAATCACAACAACTTCATAGAATGCCAAGAATTTCCACACTAAATTAATAAGCCTCAAGAACAATGGAGTAACTAAAACAGAATAGCTGTGGCGTTGGCTTGATTGAGCTCACAAAGCAGGAAACAGGAAGCAGCAGCACAATCTGATAGCCGACAAGAACAGACCCTCTGTAATTAGATAAGGAATCTGTATAATAAAATTTGCCCTCGTGGTTTTGCCGAAGTCTTAATGACTCCTGCAATTACAAAGGAGAGTCTTACACTCCAATCAGAGCCTTTTATTTCAAATTTCTTACCTAATCCACATTACCATTGCAGAGAGCACACAACATTCCCATTCAGTCTCAGCTGTTCAAGTACTTACGACTGCCTTAAGTTCTAAGTAAGTTACAGTAATATGATGGCTTATAAATGTCATACCTGAACAAATCTGGGTGGAAACTTTTGTCTTAGGTCTAAAAGCAAAGCATCTACCCGTTGCCTTTGGAAAATAGAACTTGGTTCTTCCTTCTTCTTGGCTTTTGGTTTAGCTTTCTCTGCAAGTCACAGAAACGTAAGAGAAAGTTTTATTAAAAGTTCTGTTCTCTTAGCAACTCTTTGTTGTATGACAAGTTGTTATTCACCTCTCCTCTAAACTTCACCTACATTTTCCCTTTGACATCAGTTATTTTCTTGTGTGTAAGACAGATTAAGGACAATTCTTACCCCCTGAAAAACTGGTTTGGCTTCTGAAAACGTACTTTGGTCTCCAGTGGGTTGAAGAGTTACCCACTTTATTGACACATGGCTCACTGTTTTCATTTCTCACCCATGCCTCAATGGTTCATCCCCACCAGCACAGAACAGCAAGATTCCTTCTACTTGATAAGGAGCACCAACTTACTCTTCAGACAGACAGACACTTAACCTCATCTCTACACTATCACTGTGCATTGCCTCAAGTTTTT